AGGTACTGATCATGATATGTATTTGTCCAATGATACTTGTTTGCGAATGACATTTAGCTTCCCCGGCCGCCCTGCCGGGAGCCGCACAATAGGTGTGAAAGAGCCATGCGCGGCTCCCAAGCCAGAGTTTGGCCACCCCTGTACTACACCAACGCTTAGATCAAGATCTACAGAAATCTGTGATATCTTACTATTTGCATAGGGCCAAGTCCCTCACCAAAGCTCTGGACAAGCCGCATTGCAGCACAATTTAAGATAGGCGCACCCTGTTGCCTGTTGAATGACAAATACAACACAGACCGGTCATATGAGGTTTCGAGGACTTGCCAGGCTTTCACCCCCCCCCCACACACACCAGGTGTCTGAGGACCCTTGCTCATGTTACTGACGAAAGCCAGCCGGGCACAGGGCGATAACTGCCGGGCTGTCACTCGGCAAAGCATTTCTCGCATAGCAGGAGGGGGACGGATGGGGAGATGTGGGGACTGAGCGGTAGCGTTGAGTAACCTTCCACCACACACACACACACACAGAGGATTCCTGGGCTGTGACGAAGTAGCACAAGGGTTCTTGAGTGTGAAGGGAGCAGGGGAGAAAAGTCTGGAAGCTGTTAATGGCCTCAGAGCCGGTTTTTGCAAGGGTGTGTGGCGGGAGCTCCCCGGTGCCTCGCGCCAGTTTGGGTAGGCAGGCCAGGAGGGTTATCCGAGGACAACGAGCTGGGAATAACAAGCTCCCGAAACTGTGGCTGTCAAGCCACAGACACTTACCTGTTTGCATCAGAGAGAGAGCTGAGCAAGATAGGGAGAGCGTGCGCACACTCTGGACAATGTGCTCATCTCTTCCGTGTGCACCAACGCCTCCTTTAAGGGATTTTTCCTGCAGAGAGAAATCGTGGCAGAATCCGACAGCAACAGGACCATTTAGTAGTTGCGTATTGGAACTTCCCAGGATGGAGCTCCCAGTTTCTCCGCAGGGTTCAGAAGGCCTTCCCATAGAGTCTGTGTTGGCTTTTGAGAGGGAACCCTCCCGTCTACCCAGAATTCCTCGGGAGCATCTGCTTTGCACGCAGGAGGCCCCAGCCTTAATCCATGGCATCTCCTGCTAAGATCTCAGGCAGCAGGTGATGGGACAGACCTTTCTCTGCTTGAGCCCTGGAAAGCTCCTGCCCGTCAGAAGAGGCAGTACTTGAGCTAGAAGGAACAAGTGCCTGAACCTGTAAGGCAGGGTTCCCTCTAAGCTGAGTTAGTGTGAGCTAGCTCAACAGTTTTTTAGCCTTCGGACCACACATCTTTGTCTTCGCTCAGGAAGGAGGGCTCCAGAGACGACTAATTTATGGAGCAGCCAAATCGCTCGCTCACAACTTTAATGCCAGTAGCTCACAAAGTAGAATTTGTGCTCACAAGACTCCACAGCTTAGAGGGAGCATTGGTTATGAGCAGTGTTCCCTCTAAGCTGAGTTAGTGTGAGGTAGCTCACAGTTTTTCAGCCTCCGGCTCACACATTTTTTGTCTTAGCTCAGGAAGGAGGGCTCCAGAGACGACTAATTTATGGAGCAGCCAAATCGCTCGCTCACAACTTTAATGCCAGTAGCTCACAAAGTAGAATTTTTGCTCACAAGACCCCACAGCTTAGCGGGAGCATTGGTTATGAGGCAGAGGCAGGCAATGGCAAACCACCTCTGAAACGCCTCTTGCCTTTAAAAACAAGTCTAGCTTGCCAACTAGTGGTGCATAACACTAAAAGAGCTAGAACTTCTGGCTGCCAGACAAGATGGTTAGACAGTGGTATCAATGCAGCGAACATGAAGTTGAGCAAACTCCGGAGGACGACGGAGGACAGAAGGGCCTGGCGTGATGTGGTCCATGGGGTCGCGAAGAGTCAGACTCGACTGTGTGACTGAACAACAACGACAAATCACTTCCTCACAACTTTAATGCCAGTAGCTCACAAAGTAGAATTTTTGCACACAAGACTCCACAGCTTAGAGGGAGCATTGGTTCTGACCTCCCTTTCCTCTCTCCTCTTGAACGAAATGCTGTTTATCTGCATCCTAGATGGTGTCTTGATAATGCAGTAGGGTTACGTGAACACCGTTGGGTAAGGATGTCAAGGGTTTGGTTTGGTTTCACTTCTGCATGTGCCGTGGAATTGTGTGGTCACTTGGGTGAGGTTGGCATGTCTGGATGGGTTTAGCTCTTTCCAGCTGTGTCACTAAACTGCAATTCCGTCAGTTTTAGTGCAGGCCAAAGCCAGCCATTTTAAATCATAATAATTCACCCGTCTGATTGAATGAAAAGGTTTTTTTAATCGGGGGGGGGGATATAAAATCTTGGGTTTTTTTTGTTTTTGTCTAAAGTTCAAATCAGTTAATCCTAAAAGAAATCGACTCTTCCTGTTCCCTGGAAGGCCAGATAATGAAACTGAAGCTCAAATACTTTGGCCACCCAATGAGAAGGGAGCACTCACTGGAGAGGACCCTGATGCTGGGAAAGATTGAAGGTCAAAGAAGACAGGGACAGCAAAGGATGAGATGGTTAGACAGTGTCATAGATGCAACGAACATGAAGCTGAGCAAACTTCAGAGGACGGCGGAAGACAGGAGGGCCTGGCGTGATCTGGTCCATGGGGTCGCAAAGAGTCGGACTCGACTGTGCGACTGAACAACATAAAAGTTCTTTGCATTTTTTGGGGCCAGAAATGTTCGCAATGTACTAGAAAGGCTAGGGTGCTAGATGGCAAGCACGTTTCATGAACATATTTCGGATCTCTGGGGAGCTGAAGAACATGCAGTCCACAAATATCTGCGTATTTTTAGCATCCTGACCAAAAGTGAAGATTGTTTCTGATGAGTGGCTCTCCTGCGCCCTCTGCTGTCATACACAGGTTATAGTAGGCACGCTTGAGTCTGTCTAAAGGGGCACTAGGTAGCCCAATCTTGTCAGATCTCAGCAGTCAAGCAGGGTCGGCCCTGGCTAGTATTTGGATGGGAGACCTTCAAGGGATACCAGAGTCACTATACAGAGGCAGGCAGTGGAAAACCACCTCTGAACGCCTCTTCCCTTGAAAACCCTACGAGGTCCGGTCACCATAAATCGGCCGAAACTGGATGGCCCTTTTCACCATCACCCGAGGGACACGCCTGTCCTTTTTCACTCCACCCCAACAGATCTCTGTACTGCAGTCGTTGCTCAGCGACCTTCGAACAGTGTTGTTTTCACTGAATGAAGGGGGGGGGGGAATCAACCCTACACAGATGCTTGTGGTTTTCTGTAAAGCTGTTAAACCCATGTGCAAGCACTCATTGTTGCTGTTTCTCCATTCTCTGAATGCAAAAGACAACGTTCTTTTCATTGAATTGGCAAGTTTGAGTCATGACGGAAACATAATCCCAGATGCCTCTTATAAATACGGGGGGACCCTGTAGAGAAGGTAGAGCCCTCCATTCCCGACAGCTTATTATTTACAGGGAAAAAATTAGGAAAAGGAGCCCCAGCCAAGAAGCTTGACGGCTGCCTTCCATTTGATCTTTTGCATTGCTTTGTGGTGGGGATTAAAGCGTCTGGAAGACTTGGTTGCCCTTTAAGGAAAGCGTCCTAAATTCGACAAAGTTCTGCCGTTAAAACCATAGCCGAGTCATGGTTTAGAG